TCAGTTAGGAAAAGAATAAGTCAAATTGTCCCTGTTTGCAGATGACATGATTGTATATTTAGAAAACCCCATCACCTCAGCCCAAAATCTCCTTAAGCTGATAAGCAACTTCAGCAAAGTCTCAGGATACAAAATCAATGTGCAAAAATCACAAGCATTCTTATACCAGTAACAAACAAACAGGGAGCCAAATCATGAATGAATTTCCATTCACAATTGCTTCAAAGAGAATAAAATACCTAGGAATCCAACTTACAAGGGCTGTAAAGGATCTCTTTGAGGAGAACTACAAACCACTGCTCAGTGAAATAAAAGAGGACACAAACAAATGGAAGAACATTCTATTCTCATGGATAGGAAGAACCAATATCGTGAAAATGACCATACTGCTTAAGGTAATCTATAGATTCAATGCCATCCCCATTAAGCTACCAATGACTTTCTTCACAGAATTGGAAAAAACTGCTTTAAAGTTCATATGGAACCAAAGAAGAGCCCGCATTGCCAAGACAATCCTAAGTCAAAAGAACAAAGCTGGAAGCATCACGCTACCTGACTTCAAACTATACTACAAGGCTACAGTAACCAAAACAGCATGGTACTGGTACCAAAACAGAGATATAGACCAATGGAACAGAACAGAGCCCTCATAAATAATACCACACATCTACAGCCATCTGATCTTTGACAAACCTGAGAAAAACAAGAAATGGGGAAAGGATTCCCTATTTAATAAATGGTGCTGGGAAAATTGGCTAGCCACAAGTAAAAACCTGAAACTGCATCCCTTCCTTACACCTTGTACAAACATATATTAAAGGTGGATTAAAGACTTAAATGTTAGACCTAAAACCATAAAAACCCTAGAAGAAAACCTAGGTAATACCATCCAGGACATAGGCATGGGCAAGGGCTTCATGCCTAAAACACCAAAAGCAACGGCACCAAAAGCCATAATTGACAAATGAGATCTAAGTAAACTAAAGAGCTTCTGCACAGCAAAACAAACTGCCATCAGAGTGAACAGGCAACCTACAGAATGGGAAAAAATTTTTGCAATGTACTCATCTGACAAAGGGCTAATATCCAGAACCTAGAAAGAACTCAAACAAATTTACGAGAAAGAAACAACTCCATCAAAAAGTGGGCAAAGGATATGAATAGACATTTCTCAGAATAAGACATGCATACAGCCAACAGGCACATGAAAAAATGCTCGTCATCACTGGCCATCAGAGAAATGCAATCAAAACCACAATGAGGTACCATCTCACACCAGTTAGAATGGCAATCATTAAAAAGTCAGGAAACAGCAGGTGCTAGAGAGGATGTGGAGAAATAGGAACACTTTTACACTGTTGGTGGGATTGTAAACTGGTTCAACGATTGTGAAAAACAGTATGGCGATTCCTCAAGGATCTAGAACTAGAAATACCATATGACCCAGCCATCCCATTACTGGGTATATACCTAAAGGATTATAAATCATGCTGCTATAAAGACACATGCACACGTATGTTTATCGTGGCACTATTCACAATAGGAAAGACTTGGAATCAACCCAAATGTCCATCGGTGACAGACTGGATTAAGAAAATGTGGCACATATAACACCATGGAATACTATGCGGCCATAATAAAGGATGAGTTCATGTCCTTTGTAGGGACATGGATGCAGCTGGAAACCATCATTCTCAGCAAACTATGGCAAGAACAGAAAACGAAACACCGCATGTTCTCACTCATAGATGGGAATTGAACAATGAGATCTCTTGGACTCGGGAAGGGGAACATCACATACCGGGGCCTATTATGGGGAGCGGGGAGGGGGTAAGGATGGCATTGGGAGTTATACCTGATGTAAATGATGAGTTGATGGGTGCTGATGAGTTGATGGGTGCGGCACACCAACATGGCACAAGTATACATATGTAACAAACCTGCACGTTGTGCACATGTACCCTAGAACTTAAAGTATAATAATAAATAAATAAATAAATAAATAAATAAAATTTTAAAAAATAAAAAAAAAAAATACAAATTACCTAAACTGACACAAGGAGAGATAAAAAATGCAACTAGCCCTATGTCAATGAAAGAAAATGAATTTGTGGCCAGGCACAGTGGCTCACGCCTGTAATCCCAGCAATTTGGGAGGCTGAGGTGGGTGGATCATGAGGTCAGGAGATGGAGACCATCCTGGGTAACATGATGAAACCCCGTCTCTACTAAAAATACAAAAAATTAGCCAGGTGTGGTGGCAGGTACCTGTAGTCCCAGCTACTTGGGAGGCTGAGGCAGGAGAATGACGTGAACCTGGGAGGCGGAGCTTGCAGTGAGCCGAGATCGCTCCACTGCACTCCAGCCTGGGTGACAGAGTGAGACTCTGTCTCAAAAAAGAAAAAAAGAAAGAAAGAAAGAAAATGAATTTGTAATTAAAGTCTTCCTGCAAATAAACTGCAATACCTAGATGGCTTATTAGTGAATTCTATCAAGCATTTAAGGAAGAACTATTAAGTTGGTTCAAAAGTAATTACGATTTTTCCATTAATTTTAATGACAAAAACACAATTACTTTTGCACCAACCTAATAATACCAATTCTGCACATTCAGAAAATGGAGCAGGATGGAAAACTTTTACTTATTGATCAACAATTTTTGTAATTTGAAAAATAAAGAAATGCCTAATGGTTCTTTCTGACCTTTTAATCAGGGGTTTTGTATCAGGGTAATGCTGGTCTCATAAAATTAGTTTCAGCATTACCCTGATACAAAAACTGATTTAAAAAATGCCTGAGAAAGAAAGAAAGAAAACTCCAGTTCAATATCTCTCATGAACATAGAAACAAAAATTGTGAAATTTTAATAAATCAAATCCAGATGTGTGCGTGCATGTGTGTGTGTGCCCCTGTGTATAAAGATATAAAAAGTAATACATCCTGACCAAGTAAGGTTTACCATAGGAATGCAGGGTTAGTTTTAATATCCAAAAATTAATCATTGCAATTATGCTATATTATCAGGAAAAAAAGATCATCTTACGTAGTATATATAGAAAACACATCTGACAAAATTCAACTCTCATTTATAATAAAATTTTCAGCCAATTAGGAATAGAATGGAGCTTTCTCACTCTCATCAAAGGAATCTATGAGAAACCTACAGATTACACCTGTAATGCACATAATGTAGTAAGATTGAAAAGACAGCAAAGATGTCCACTCTGACCACTGTTATTCATCAGTGTACTGGAGCCCTGTGAGATGTAAAGATACATAGATTAGAAAGAAGAAAAATGTAAACTCATTTTCGGAAAACATAACTGTGTACATAGAATATCCTAAGGAATTCTAAAAGAGAAAAAAAAGCCTACTATAACTAATAAATGAATTGAGCAAGGTCACAGGACACAAAGCCAATACACAAAAATCAGTTGTATTTCTATATATTAAAGTGAACAATTAGAAAGTAAAATTTTTTAAATACTATTTATAGTAGTATCCCAAAACACAAAACATTTAAGAATAAATTTTTTAAAATATATCCAAGATCTGTACAATGAAATCTATAAAACATTAGAGAGAAATTAAGCAATACCTAAATAAATTGGGAATGGTGTTCATGGATTGAGAGGCTAAATATTGTCTCTGTCAGTTTTCTCAAATTGGTCTATAGCGGGATTTTGCAATCTATGGCCTATGGGTCCAATCTGTCAGATTTTGTAAATAAAGTTTTATTACAACATGACCATACCCACTTATTTATTAATACGTATATTCTAGTTTTTGTAAATACATAGGTATGTACATGTCTATGTGTTTTTATATTGGTATAAGCACTGAGAGTGGTGTTGTACTATCACCAGGCTATGGACATTGGTCACCTCAGGGGGATGGGAATGAAATAATATTGAGAAGCGATTGTAATTTTTTACACATCTTTGCCTAGTTTTACTTATTACATGAAGCATAAATTATTTTTGTATTTAAATTTTTAATTTTAAAAGCACAAACATTTATCATTCTAAGAAATGTGTGTAGTGTTTACAGTTGCTTTTCAGATCTCCTTTTGCTAGAATTTGTTAGACCTACTATTAAAGTAAAATTCAAAGGGACTCAGTTTATTGCTCCAGAGCCCAAAGTGCTTTCAAACAAAGGCACATGACCTGCATTTGCATTCTTACTCTCAGGGGATAGAAAATCAGGATAGTACTTCAAAAGCAAAATGAGGAGGTAGATGCTGGACAGAAAACAACAAAAAATATTGACTTAAATACCAAATAAAACAAGGAGAGGGAAAGGGAAAGGAAGAAAGAAAAGGAAGGAAGGGGAGAGAACCTAGAAGAGAACTTAGGGAGAGCTAATCCAGGAGTCTTCAGATCCCCTACTTGCCTCAGACTATACCTTCATAATCCCTTCACTTCACCTATGAAAGTAGTTACCTTGGTTAACCACTGCTCTCTTGACTATCAATGTGAGTAGCATCTCACTTCCTTCTAACATTTGCTATCACATCAACACTAGTGTTCATGTCTTTGGTGAATTTGTTTTTGTTCTCTCTCCCTAGTCCATTGGTTGGTATAATCATCTCTCCATCAATCAGGAAGAGCCAAGGAGGGGTATACAGTTAACGTGGGTTTTTTTACTTATTTTAACTGGGAAACAAATCCAACTCTTTTCAATATGATTTAATTACTCTCAAAAAATATGAAAGGTTCATTTTAATTCAAAGCAAATACTGTGAAATTATATAATCCCAAATCCTTTATTTAGTAAGAAGTTTTAATCATTAGCAAGCCTTCATGACCAATAGTGTGGGAATCCTCTAAATGTAGTAAATTTTAAAAAATTCATTGCCATTAAAAAATATAAATTTTCTTTGGGTAATTATAAACATCAAATCCAAATTTTAAAAATTCTTACATTTTAGAGCCATATTACCTCAAACAATAGGCCCCATATTTAAATTCAAGGTTTTGTTCTTATTTTTAATCCAACAGGGCCATCCATCACTTGTGAAAGCTCTGTCCTACCTGTATGAAAAGCTTTATCAAAAGCAAATCGATTCAAATAAAGAAATCCTTGTGACAGTAGGAGCATATGGATCTCTTTTTAACACCATTCAAGGATTAATTGATGAGGGAGATGAAGTAAGTATATTAACATTATCATAATACCTATGTTGAATCAATTATCATTTGTCCCACCTTTGAATCTTTTGTTTATATTATGCTGTTTCCTCTTTTTATTTTTAATTATGTTTTAAGTATAATGCATGTACAATAAAGTTCACAAATCTTAAATGTACAGTTGGATAAATTATTGTGTAAATTTCTGTGTAACTACAACCAGATAAAGATATAATACATTTCCAGTACCCAGAAAGCTCCTTTGTTCCTCTTCATAGTCTATAATATTCTCCCAGAGGTAACTACTCTTCTGTCTTCTATAACCATAGACTTGTTTTGACTGCTCTTTTACTTGATATGAATAGAATTATACAGTGTGTATATACTCTTGGGTCTAGATCCATTCATTTATTTTTGTGTCTGTCAGATTCATCCATTTTCTTGCATATAATTTATTCTTATTTTTATAGCCTATTTAAATAAGGGCAGATGGAAGGGACTAACACTGCTGGGGAAAAAGAATCTTTTGTTTTCATTGCTAAAATAACCTTTAATCTTAACTTGATCTACAAGTTTTTGATTGATGTCTTTGTGTGCCCAGTAATTGTATAAGCCATCTCATATGTAGATTTTTTTTTTTTTTGAGACAGAGTCCCGCTTTGTTGCCCAGGCTGGAGTACAGTGGTGCGATCTTGGCTCACTGCAACCTCCACCTCATGGGTTCAAGTGATTCTCCTGCCCCAGCCTACTGAGTAGCTGAGATTACAGGCATTCGCCACCAAGCCCAGCTAATTTTTGTATATTTAGGAGAGATGGGATTTTGCCAGGTTGGCCAGGCTGGTCTCGAACTCCTGACCTCAGGTGATCCATCTGCCTCAACCTCCCAAAGTGCTGGGATTACAAGCGTAAGCCACCACACCTGGCTGAGGATATATTACTATGACAGGAAGGTAAAATGATTTTGCTATTTAGTACTGTGATGTATAACCAACTTTTGGCACCTACTTCAGTCATCTCTACCCGTATTTCCCATTATCATTCCAATACCCTTGCTTTAATACTTTTTGCCTCTTTCATTTATTCACAAAATACAGAGGATCCAATATATGCTAAGCACTGTGAGATAGAAGATTTTTTTAAAGATAGATTCTGTGCAGAAGGAATTCCCTGTCTAGTAGAGAACACAGACTTGCAAATGGATTAAGAGGAACATTGTGTGTTAGCCAATAGTGGAGAATGTATAACTTACGGTAGTGACAAAAGGAAGAGGCAATCACATCTGCTAAGTCTGGAAAGCTCCAGAGAGACATTGCTTACACTGGGACTGAAGAACGAGTATTTATCCTGATCTATATTGTTGACTTTCTTTGAACTCTCATAGCCCTTTATCATACCACTTTTATGAAAGATGCTGCTATCTGCTTTGTGTTATGTTATTCTTTTACAACTTTGATTCCCTCCACTGTGCCAGACAAGATGTTTAAGGAAACATGTTAAGGAAGTTCACAGTTTCATATACATAATCTCCTTTAATCCTATAACATAGTTTTGTCTCATACTTCAATGTTGTTAATCCTTTGTTGCTTCTTTCTCTGCACTATGTTGGGAGTATTGTAAGGCTTAGCCCTTAGCCTTCTTTCCTCTATTCTTTCTTCCTTCATCAACTTATCTAGTATTTTGAAACCACATACATGTCACTTACTGTCATACTGACCTATTTATTGTTTCTTTATCGCATTTATTACTATCTGAAATTATCTAATGTCCTTATTTGTTTCTCTGTTCATTATAAGCCTCTCTCAGTAGGATGTAAGTTCTAGGAGAACTTTATAGCTTTATTGCCAGCACCTAAAATAGTGAGGACTCAATAAATACTCTCAAAAAAAAAAAAAAAAGAGAGAGAGAGAGAGAGAGGAATTGTTTACATCATAAAAGTGAAGAAATCAAGGTGAAGAGTAGCAGGTATATTCCTCCCACTCCACTGCCCTGCCTCTCCAATTTATTTTCCTTTATTGTGCTCTCACTTTGTATTGAGTTTTATATTTCCCACTAGAGTCACAAAGATAGGTTGTTTTAGTCCCTGAGAACTTCACAGATGAGGCTGGGTGTGGTGGCTCAGGCCTGTTATCCCGGCAGTTTGAGAGGCCGAGGCAAGCAGATCACCTGAGGTCAGGAGTTCAAGACCAGCCTGGGCAACATGGCGAAACCCCGTCTCTACTAAAAATACAAAAATTGACCATGCTTTTGAGAAGAGAGAAACATTTCTACTCTCAAGATGATGCTTTTAAATTAGGACTTTATACCAGGGAACATTACAGTGTTCTCTTTCCACATAGCCTGCTGTCTGTCACTGCTTATACATCACTTACATTCTAGATTTTATTTTCTAATTTGAAATATGAAGAAATGCTTAATCGTTTTGGCTGGAATATCCCTTTGAGAATGTGATAGTCCCATTCTCCAGGTAAATCTACCTCTGCATATATGAAATTTTATATGCAATTTCAAATACTCCCACTGCATGCTTATTTATAGATCTCCCTAAGATACCAAGGAGTCCAATTAAGACTACCTGGACAAGTTTGTCTCCAAGGTCTCTTCCCCTCAGATGTTAGCTCCACAAGGGCAAAGCCTGCCTTTTTCACTGCTGTATCCCAACACATAGTACAGTTCCTAGTCCATAGTAGGTACACAGTATTATTAACATGAATAAATGATTGATAGGTTGTGATCTTATTTGCTTTTATTGCAGGTCATACTGATAGTGCCTTTCTATGACTGCTATGAGCCCATGGTGAGAATGGCTGGAGCAACACCTGTTTTTATTCCCCTGAGATCTGTAAGTTTGCCAGTAGGGTTCATATGGCAAAGTTTCAAGACTTAAGAAGTCTTGAAAATACCAATTACTTGTTATGATAAAGTTTCTACTTTGATTGCATTTGGAGATTTCCTGTATGTCTCTGTTTGTCTAGTTGTCTTTTTTAAATATTTTCAACATAAGTAATACACTAAGGTCAGTCACAAAAATCATCAGCTAACCTTACAATATCAGACACGTTAACTATAGTTGTAGCTAGTTCCTGTGAAGGAATAGTAACAGCAGTTAATGTTGACAGGGCTTATTTTTCCATTTACCAGGCATGAGCATAAGACTTAGGTCTTCTTGGGCTCTTAAGCAGAACTACAGCCTAGTTATTTCTGTTTATCTTCTTTGTTAGTCTTTTTCTACTTTTTTTTCTGTTCCTACTCCAGGGAAGCATTTGTTGGTAATTTAGTCAGTTTCCTTTGCCATGTCTTTCTTTGATGTTTTTTTCTTATTAGATTATTTGTTTGTAAGACAGTAAACATGACTTAATTGAATCAAATTATATCTTCATTCTTCATGCTTAGAAACCTGTTGATGGAAAAAGATGGTCTAGTTCTGACTGGACATTAGATCCTCAAGAACTGGAAAGTAAATTTAATTCCAAAACCAAAGCTATTATACTAAATACTCCACATAACCCACTTGGCAAGGTAAGCAAGTCTCTTATCTCCTTACACAGTCTTCTGACCTATCATTTTCTCACGTGTTGAATAATTGGCTGTACTCTTTCCTTTATTATGTGTAGGTGTATAACAAAGAGGAACTGCAAGTAATTGCTGACCTTTGCATCAAATATGACACACTCTGCATCAGCGATGAGGTTTATGAATGGCTTGTATATTCTGGAAATAAGCACTTAAAAATAGGTACCGACTATAATATAGAGTCACAAATCTAAATGTGTTTGGGCACATATGGTAGAACTGATTGGAAAGTATCCCAGACCAAATCTAAAATAGTCTTTGTAATGGGTATCTGTCTGTATGAACACTTAAAAATAGTATTTAAATGAGCAATACTTTAGTGAATTGATGAATAGTTCAAAGGACAAAGAATAAGAGATTTTGGATCATACTATAAAGCTATGATACCAGAGAAGTAGTTCTTTTGCCCATATCCCCGGCTTCTTAGCAGAAATCCAGCAATTACTTGGTACATAAGACACAGGGAGCTTTCTTGTGCCTGAAGAGGTTCTAGACGGTCTGTGCTCAACAACTTGACAAAATGCCAAGTCAACAGAAAGAAATTACAGGGGTAGTCAGGTATGCTGCTTGGCCCTTGCTTGAGATTCAGCTATTGCTACTGGGCTATCTCATGAATGCCGTAGTGTCTGCTGCAGTAGTCCAAACCATGTAAACTATAGGATTACAAACTGGGCTGCAACTTTTGGGTCTTCGCACCTCCCTTTCCTTTGCCTGGAAACACTTTTCCTCCAAATACCCACCTGGCTCCAAATATCCTTTGCCTCCTTCAGGCCTTTGTCCAATGTCAGTTTTCATGACCATCACATTGAAAATAGATACACCTCTCCCTCCAGCATTTGCTTTGTCCTTTTTCTATTTTGTTTTGTTTTTCCCTCTATAGTAAATATAAGAATCTATATATTTTACTTCTAAACCACAGTGATGGAGGGGTTTTGTTTATTTTAGTCTCTTCTGCATCCCCATTTTCCATAGAATCTTGTACACGGTAGAGAATTAGAAAGAAATTGTTGAATAAATGAAGACGAAAGATGAAAAGATTAAGGGAAGGATGACTAAAAAATGTAGCAGAAATAGATATATTTTAAAATTTAGACCAGGTACAGTGGTTCACGCCTATAATCCCAGCACTTTGAGAGGCTAAAGTGGGTGGATTGCTAGAGTCCAGGAGTTCAAAACTGGCCTGGGCAACATGGAGACACTCCATCTCTACACAGAAATTCAAAAAATCAGCCAGGTGTGGTAGTCTGTGCCTGTAGTCACAGCTACTTGGGAGGCTGAGGTGGGAGGATCCCTTGAGCCCGGGTACCACTGGCTCACTGCAACCTCCATCTCCTGGGCTCAAGCAATCCTCCCAGCTTAGCCTCCCAAGTAACTGGGACTAAAGGCACAGACCACCACACCCGGCTAATTTTTTTTAAGAAAAATAAAAATAAGAAATGTAATGTGCTAATATATTAAATTGTTGCATTGTTACATGTGCCATAATTACTCCTATAGTATATTACAAGTTGCTATAGATGTGGGAAGAGAAAGCAACTGTTTGAGGGGAATAAAAAAGGAGTGGCCAAAAGACAGAGAATTAGCTAAACAGAGAAATAGAAACTAAATTCCTAAAACATAAACTAGCATGTACTTAGACAAGGAGGTGTAAAAGATCAAGATACACTTAAGAAAGGTAAATGATTATTGAAATTTTAAAAACAAAGAAGAAGAAAGGTAACTAAGTTTTTGGGTTTTGTTTTTGTTTTTTTTTTTGTTTGTTTGAGACAGAGTCTTGCTCTGTCACCCAGGATGGAGTGCAGTGGTGCGATCTCGGCTCACTGCAACCTCTGCCTCCTGGGTTCCAACGATTCTCCTGCCTCGGGCTCCCGAATAGTTGGGATTACAGGCGCGCGCCACCATGCCTGGCTAATTTTTTTACTTTTAGTAGAGACGGGGTTTCACCATGTTGGCCAAGCTGGTCTCAAACTTCTAACCTCACGATCCACCCGCCTCGGCCTCCCAAAGTGCTGGAATTACAGGCATGGGCCACCGCACCCGGCCTTATTTTTTATTTTTATTTTTTAGGAGACAGGGTCTTGCTGTGTCACCCAGGCTGGAGTGCAGTGGCGCAGAGCTCACTGTAATCTCAAACTTTTGGGTTCAAGCAATCCTTCCACTTCAGCCTCCCAAGTAGCTTTGACTACAAGTCTGCACCCCCTTATCTGGCTAATTTTTTTTTTAATTTTTGTAGAGATAGCATCTCACTATGTTGCTCGTACTGTTCTCAATCTCCTAGACTCAAGCAATCCTCCTGCCCTGGCCTCCCAAAGGGCTGTGATTACAGGCATAAGCCATAGAACCCAGCCTCAGTTTGATTTATGAGGGTGTGTTGTAGTAACTGGCATAGATCAGGGTGGAAAAGTAGGGTGATTCTAAAGGACTTTGAATATGAGATAAAGAGTATAAACTTTGTTGAGGAGGTCAGGGTTCTGAAACTTACTTTAGTGGTAGATCACCATGAGATCAGTGTTCTACATCATGAAATAGTGATATTGTGAATTCCATCCTGAAAGTAATAGCAATTTTCCCAACAGAAATTCAACAATTAGAAGCCAATATAAAAATCACAATTCTGTTCATACTTGTCCACAACAAAAAGCTATTGAAATAAACACATTTGAGTTTTTCTGATTTTTCCATTAATACGCATTTACTAAATGCTCATCTGTTTCACTATTGGAGCATCCACTATCAGATAAGTGATAGTATTTGCTATAAGGCTTAAGAAAATTGTGTGGAAGAAAACTTAACATTGATTTTTTAAAATTTTGCACATTAATTTGATTACCAGAGTGCCAGTGACCTTACTTTGAGAACTATTGCAAAAGGTGTAACAAAACAGGAGAATTGGTTCCATGACTAGATTTTTTTTTACAAAGATGAGAGCCAGCCACAGAGGAGGGTCTTAAGCAAATCAGATAACCTAGCAGTGGAGATGGTACATGGGGGCTATTTAGAAATTATAGAGTGTAGCATTTGAAGGTGGAAAGAAAGCAAGCATGATACTAAGATCTCTAGCCTGAACTACTCAGCAGTGATAAGGCCTTTAACCAGAGTAAATATGGAGAGGAGCAGATTCGTAGGGAAGGGCTGAGCAAAGGGAATTCCTTCTTATGCTTTAAACTTGCTGAGTTTGGGTGTCTATGGGACATAGAAGAATAGATATCTGGGGACAAGTGGAATTATACGTCTGATTGTCAGAATCAAATTATAATGGAATGTATTTTTGGCAGTCATCAAAATGTTGGTGGTAGCTGGACACATGGAAGAGAATGAATTTTCTCAAGGGGAATATATAAACAGAGAAGGCAGCCAGAGATTTGCAGGGTGTGGCACCTTACTACACCAAAATGTTATCATGTGTTAAATTGCATCAGAGTCCACCATTGCCCATCCTGTTGGTGACCTCGTCTCAAGTCATTTGAACTGTTTCCCGGTGGAAAATCAGATTAACATGAACAATTACTTTCTTGTTGTAATTAACTCAGTGTAGCAATATTCATCCCAAAAGATCACTTTAGATCATCTTGAAATTTATTATTTAGATCTACTCATTTTAAGCCCTTCAGGGTAAAGTGTAACTGATAACATTATTTACTAAAGATATGCAAGATGTATATTTTGAACTTAGATTTTTTTTAGTTGTAACAGCCCATAAAGTTTAAATAAGACCACAACATGGATGCACTATTTCATTATTTAGAAAGTGCCATTTGTTTGCATTAAAACTTAGGTATTCTATCACATACAATAGTCTTTGTTAAATTAAAGATGCCAAATGGCTACAAAAAGGCTATTACATCAATTTGCAAAGTGCAACAGTAGTCCTTTAATATATGATGTATCTTTTACTTTAAAGGAAGTGATAATCTGCATTATACATAGTTTAGATTTTCTCTGGTCAAATAGAAAAGTGGAGCATGTGTCATAGCATTCTTCTGGAGTATTTTGGAAGACCAGAAATGTCTCAAAACTAGAAGGGATATAATTATTTATATCAAGTTTTAAAATATTCCTTCTTCAAGTGGACATTCTAACTATTTTTCTCATTTATCTTTTTGGGTTTTGTTATATTCCACAGAGAATAAAATTATAACTTTTCTGATTTATATACTTTTCCTACTGTTTCAAATTTAGCAGGTATTTCGGGGTAGACTGAAATTACTTACACGTTGTTTTGGAAATTCCTGTAGCTGCCTTACATTTTAGTAGGCACTTTACTTGCTTAAGAGCAGATTATTTCAGAAAGCAGAAGCTTAGATTCCCAGAGATGAGCATTTATTTTCCCTTTGTGTGTACCAACACTCTAAGAACAATACAAGATCCCCCACTTGTGCTTCTGAAAAACAAGTGGAAAAACCTGTGGGTTGCATGGAAAGAACTTCACAACTAAATTACTTGAGGAATCCAAAAAGCAGTATTGTGGGTGGCATTGTCAGAAGAGTGACAGAATGGTAATTTACCAGTTATTACCAATGTCTAGCAAAATTTACAAACTCTTGCATTTTAGACCTCCAGACCTTTGTTACCTGCATTCTCTTAGCCCAGAATATCTTCATTCCCTTTCTCTGCCTGGCTATGGCCTATGTGGTCTTCTATGTCGCAGCTTAAGAATTACTGGCTGCAGAAAGCCACCCTCAACACCGTCTTCTATCCTTGCATCACCCTCCATGCCTCCTGCTGTTACAGCATTTATCACACTGTCTTACAATTGTCATTGTATGTGTCTCATGTCCCCACTAGACATTAAATTTTTTGAAGAATTGCATCTTATTCATTTTTGTTTCCTTTAGACCTTAGTCCCTAGCACCTGGTGGTTGCTAATGAATATTTGATGTATGAATGAATCAATGTCTTTATTAAAGATGTTAATCAATTTGAAAACCATTATACAGCCAATTCACATTATTCTTGAGTTCTGTATTTGCAAATTTGCCTACTCCCTAAAATATATGTGTAACAAAATCAATACTCACAGCACTTCATTTGAAGAGAAGGGGAAATTTGAGTCACCCTACACACATTTCCAGTCGAGGTCAAACAAGGCAACACTCTGGTTCTGTTTCAATTCACACTATAAGCAATTGTTCTCTGTACAGTGATTTTGCTGTTTAAAATGGCCCCCAAGCCTAGTGCTGAAGTGCTGTCTAATATTCTTAAGTGCAAGAAGGTTGTGATGTTCCTTATGGAGAAAATATATGTGTTTGATAAGTTTCATTCAGGCACAATGACCATGAGGATATTAAAGAGTGATAGCTAAAAGGTACAGGGCTTCTTTTGGAATGAAAAAAGTGTTCTGAAATTGGTTATGGTGATAGTTGCACAGGTCTATAGATATACTCAAAAATCACTGAATGGCATACCTTAAATTGGTGAATTTATGGGATTTATATCCCAATAAATCTGTTAGCAAAACACACACACATACACACATACACACGCACACACACATGCACACATGATTACTGGGTCCCACCCCCAGAGTTTCTGATTCAGTAGGTCTGGGATGAGGCCCAGTGATTTGCCTTTCTTACAAGTTACCCAGTGATGCTGATATTGCTAGTGTGAGAACACATTTTAAGAGCCATTGCTCTAGGAAGCCTGGAGAAATACACTCAGAAAATAGGCAAAATAAAGGGGCCTAAACAATAATCAGGATCACAACCTAAGCCCTGCCACCGGGCTATAATATTGAACCTGCACCCACTGCTAACATTGAACACTGAATGCTACAGCTCCTGTGACAGCTGCCACTTAAGGCAATCTGGAACACTGCCTGCTGGTACCCCTGACACTCCTGCCCCAGAACTAATGTAAATTTTTTAAAATCTATTTATATATTATTTTGGTGCAACATTACAGTGTTGTAACCTTTTCATCTGTGTTTTACATTAAAGTTATATTATCTAAAAAAAAACTAGAAATAACTATACTGGCTAAACTATAATACACTATTTTCATTGAATTTATGTATCTTTGTTATGTTTTTAGATTATACTAAATGTAGATTAATTGGAAAACAATTATTTAACCTTTTTTCCTCCTCTGTTTAGCTACTTTTCCAGGTATGTGGGAGAGAACAATAACAATAGGAAGTGCTGGAAAGACTTTCAGTGTAACTGGCTGGAAGGTAAGATGAGTAAGAATTTAATTGCTTAAAAATAGGCCTGTATATTATTTATTTTTTTGAAGACTGTTTTGTGTTTTAAATGCTGGCCAGGCATAGTGGCTCATGCCTATAATCCCAGCACTCTGGGAGGCTAAGGCAGGAGGATCACTTAAGGCCAGGAGTTCAAGGCCAAACTTGGCTACATGGTAAGACCCTGTCTCTACAAATACATTTTTAAAAAATTAGCCAGGCAGGGTGGTGCATGCCTGCAGTCCCAGCAACTTGGGACTGATCACTTGAGCTCAGGAAGTTGAGGCTGCAGTGAGCTGCACTCCATCTTTAAAAAACCATCTTTAAAAAAATAATGAAATAAGACCATCTTTAAAAAAATAATGAAATAAATAAGTAAACAGATAAGTGAATAAATGCATACATATTCAGTTTATATAGATTTTTATATCTGGTGATCTTTGCTTATCTCTTGACTTATTTGGCTTTCATGTTGAGTTTTATCCTTTTTGAGACCTAATTATTTCTTTAAAAGTAAGAAAAATTAAGACATTTTCCCTTTTATAAGTGATCAACTAATGGCACCTTTTTCTTTGCAAAAAAGTGTTCAGATTCCTGCATATTAATATAAAAGGAGAAAAAATAATGGTAGCTAATATTTTGGCAGGTTCTAAATATATACCAGGTTCTAAATGTTTTACATATACTAATTTCTTTCATTCTCATAACCGCACTATAAGGTGGGTATGGTTAGTATCCTCATTTTACATATGACAAAGCTAAGGCACAGAGAAGTTAAATGACTTGCCTAAGATGACCCCGCTAATAAATTCAAGCCAGTACAGGAAGTCTGGCTCCGGAATTCATGCACTTAACCACTGTATTATTTATTACAATAATTTATCCAGTTAAAACCCAATTCTCTTCCAGCCTCATCTCTCCTGAACTTGGGTAAAAAGCAGGGAGCATTGACCAGGCATGGTGCACACGCCTGTAATCCTACCACTTTGGGAGGCCGAGGCAGGTAGATCACCTGAGGTCAGGAGTTCTCGATCAGCCTAACTTGGTGAAACCACATCTCTACTAAATGCAAAAAAATTAGTTGGGTGTGGTGGTGCATGCCTATAATCCCAGCTACTTGGGAGGCTGAGACAGGAGAATCGCCTGTACCTAGGAGGCTGAGGTTGAGTGAGCCAAGATCCGACCATTGCACTCCAGTCTGGGCAACAAGAGCAAAACTCCGTATCAAAAAAAAAAAAGAAGGAGGAGGAGGGAGCATCAAAAATTAGGCCTGCAGAATCAAGTCTCTATGTTTTAATTATGAGTTCCTTAGGCCCTCATTCAGAGTTACTTTAATCTGTAATTCAAACAAGCTTTGTTACCAGTTTTTAATCTTCCAGAATATGACTCCATTTGGAAGCTGTTCCTTGAAAAGAACACCATCGAAATGGTTTTAAGTACTAATACTGTACTACTTTCATAGTGTGAACTTTTTTTTTTTTTTTGAGATGGAGTCTCACTCTGTCGCCCAGGCTGGAGTGCAGTGGTGTGATCTCAGCTCACTGCAACCTCTGCCTCCTGGATTGAAGTGATTCTCCTGCCTCAGCTTCCCAAGTAGCTGGGATTACAGGTGCCCACCACCACGCCCAGCTAATTTTTTTGTATTTTTAGTAGAGACAGCATTTCACCATGTTGACCAGGCTGGTCTTCAACTCCTAACCTCAAGTGATCCACCCACCTCGGCTTCCCAAAGTGCTGGAATTACAGGTGTGAGTCACCATACCCAGCCAACATTTTAGGATTGTATATATTTAACAATTGCACTAAGTTTAAACTGCTGTCTCAGATTTGTTATATACAATTAGATTTTCTGATATGTTTTATCTTCTCCTTTCCCAGCTTGGCTGGTCCATTGGTCCGAATCATTTGATAAAACATTTACAGACAGTTCAACAAAACACGATTTATACTTGTGCAACTCCTTTACAGGTAAGTGTTATAGTAATTCAGGGTAGAAGCATGGTCTTTCGGTGAAGGTATTACTTTTATATTGCATATTTGAATTGACTTAGTTCTCTTTCTATCCTTCTGTTGCAGGGCCTTCTACTATAATTTGGAATTTGGGGAGCAGATACATATTCACTGTTATCAAAGATGGTTTGGGTGTTTTTTTAAACACAAGTTTAGCTGTGTTAAACATTGCTGGCAGGAATCTAAAGTGCTACAACTCTGTGAAGGACAATGGCAACACCAAGCAAAATTACACATGTGTTTGCCCTATGAAAGCAATCCATCTTCTAAGAATTTACCCTAAAGTTGTGTTTTAGTCCATTCTTGCACTTAGGTAAAGAAATACCCGAGACTTAGTAATTTATAAAGAAAAGAGGTTTACTTGGCTCCCGGTTCTATAGGCTGTACAGAAAGCATAGTGGCTTCTGCTTCTGGAGAGGCCTCAGAAAACTTACAATAATGGTGGAAAGCAAAGAGGAAGTAGGCATGTCTTACATGGCTGGAGCAGGAGGGAGAGAAGTGGGGAGGTATAACACAGTTTTAAACAACCATATCTCCCAGTAACTCACTATCATGAGAACAGCATCAAGGGGATGGTGCTAAACCATTCATGAGAAACCACTCCCATGATCCAATCACCTCCCAACAGGCCCTACCTCCAACATTGAGGATTACAACTGGACACGAGATTTGGATGAAGACACAGATCCAAACCATATCAAGCTATCTGCACATGTAAGAAGTTATGCACTTACCTGGCTATTCATTGCAGATGATTGAGGATAATCCATTAGCATCTACAGACAATTGATTACATAAACCATGATCTATCCAAACATTGAAATGTTATATGACCATATTTAGTTTCCTATTGGTGCTATAACAAATTACCACAAACTTAGTGACTTAAAACAACACAAATTTATTATCCTACAGTTCTTCAGCTCAGAAGTCCAAAATGAGTCTTAAAGAGCTAAAATCAAGGTGCTAGCATTGCTGTGTTCCTTCTGAAGGCTCTAGGAGAGACTCTGTTCCATGCCTTTTCCAGCTTCTAGAGGTTGCCTACATTCCTTGGCTCACAGTCACATCAGTCCATCCTCTGCTTCCGTCAACACATTTCCTGTGGCTTCAACCCTCCTGCCTCCCTTTTTCCCTTATAAGCACCTTTGAGATAACATTGGGCTCAATGCATAATCTACCCAATTAATTAAGGATAATCTTCTTAATTTCAATCACATCTGCAAAGTTCCTTTCACTATGCAACGTAACATATTTACAAGTTCTGGGTTTTAAGACCTAGATGTCGTTGGGACCCATTACTCTGTCTACTGATTACTGAAGAGAAAAGAAACAAGAAAGAAAAATGGGAAAATACTATAATTACTGTACTGAGATAAAAAAGATTCCCAGAATACATCATAAAGTAAAAAAAAAAAAACTATTTAAATATTATTTAATATTTAATATTTTTATATATTTATTATGGAAATAGGGATTTAGTTACCATCATTCTATGGATAATCAAAATGCTGAAAAAAATAGTATTTTTCTAGAAGGCAGTTAAAAGGGCAAAAGAACCAGGCACAATGACTCATGCCTATAATCCTAACACTTTGGGAGGTCAAGGCGGCGGGTCACCTGAGGTCAGGAGTTCGAGACCAACCTGGCCAACATGGCAAAACCCCGTCTCTACTAAAAGTACAAAAATTAGCTGGGCATGGTAGTGAGCACCTGTAATCCCAGCTACTCAGGAGGCTAAGGCAGAATTGCTTGAATCCAGGAGACAGAGGTTGCAGTGAACCGAGATCATGCCACTGCACTCCAGCCTGGACAACAAGAGCAAGACTTCGTCTCAAAAAAAAAAAGATGTTGATAGATATGAAGAAGAAAGATAAAACAGGGAAGAGGAAGGCTATAAAGTTCCAGGTGGGAGATATACAGTGTTAAACAAGGTGATCTTTGAAAGCCTCCCTGAAAAGGTAACATTTGAACAACTGACTGAAGGAGATTAAGCAGCCACATAGTTACTTAGAGAAGAACCCCTCTGTACAGAGAAAACAGCAAGTGAAAAGGCCCAGTGGTAGACAGCCTGGCTGGCATGTTAATATCAGAGAACAGCACAGAGACTGGAATGGAATGATCGAGAGAGAAGAGTAGGAAAAGCTAAGACCAGAGAGGTAGCTGGAAGTCCAATGGAGCTGGGCCGTGCACATCACTGTAAGGACTGAGTGAGATAAGAAGTCACCAGAGAGTTTTGAGCTCAGGAGTGACTTGGTCTGGCTTGGGTTAGCAAATGGACTCTGACTGCCTCATTGAGTGAGAAAGCTGTTACAATGATCCAAGAGAGAAATGCCAGTGCATTGAACCAAGATGGGGATGGTAGAAGCAGTAAAAAGTGATTGGACTCTGAACATATTTTGAAAGTAGAGCCCACATTATTTGTCAATAGGTTACATATAGGGTATGAGAAGAAGAAAGGAGTCCAGGATAATGCTGTAGTTAGGATGGATGTTTTTGTCTCCTTATACTTGGAATTTTCTAAGGCAGTATCTCCTATAGTAAATGAACAAGTTGCCAAGAGGAAAAAAAAAAAAAAAAAGATATAGCTAAGAATGCAGAACATCTTTTTCTGAACCCTCTTATTCTCCATTTCAGCTAGGTGCTCTGTTTTGTCCTGGGACAACCATGTTTGGTTCCAGGAAACCACAGATTTCTAGGCTAAGGCAATCAATCCTTGTTTTCCAAGATTTTGTAGTACTGGAGAATTATTACTAATTCTGTTTTACTGCATTCTTTTGGCATAAAATCTTCTCTGTGATCTTGCCCCTCTCTGTCTCCAGTCTCATCTCTTGCCACACAGTCTCTCTTACCTGCCTGATCCTTAATGTCTTAGTTGGTCTGAGCTGCAATAACAAAGTGCCATGAACAGGGTGGCTTATAAACGACAGAAATTTGTTTCTTTCCATTCTGGAGGCAGCAAAGTCCAAGATAAGGTACCAGCAGATTTGCTGTCTGGTGGGGACGTGCTCCTTCATGGATGGTGTCTTTTGCTGTGTCCTTACATGGTGTAAGGAGCAAGCTAACCCTCCTTTGTAAGGGCACTAATCCTGTTCCTAAGGGCTCTACCCTTCTGCCCTCATCACCTCCTAAAGGTCCCACGTCCTAATACCATCACCTTGGTGTTTACGATTTTAATATATGAATGTGAGAGTGGACACAAACATTCAGTCCACTGTACTTAACAACATTGGCTTTTTCCTTGGCCTAGTTTGCTGTCCTGGCTCTTGAAGAAAGGTAGAGGAATTACTGTAGATGTTCCAGAAACTCATTTCTAGTCCCTCTTACACTTTGACCACCTTCCTGGCATATAAATAATTCCAGCAAGGATTTCCATACCTATGGAGAATAAGAAAGGCACATTTCTCCTTTGCACAGTAGGTCAGCTTTCATTTCCACTCTGTCCCCAAATATAATAGTGAGAGGCTGACTACTCTGTGGTTGTTCTTCTGACTTAGATTTAGTAAGTCATTCTACAACTCACCTCAACAGAAAATATCTTAGTGTCTTTTTGTTTCCAAGCAAGCCATCTTTATGTAACAGCTCTTTTTCAATTTGAATTTTCAGGACTCATTCTCAGTTCTTTACATGAGATTTAATCATTTAGGTATAACTGATTCCTCCATTAACCTATAGAGTTTAATATAGGTTTACAGGAATTCAACAGTTATTTCCTGAGTGACTTCTTTGCCAATAATTTTACTCAGATCATCTTTATTATGCCAATAAACTAAGGAATAAATAACATTACCATATTCCTTTTCATATTTTTTAATTCTGACAAACAGGAAGCCTTGGCTCAAGCTTTCTGGATTGACATCAAGCGCATGGATGACCCAGAATGTTACTTTAATTCTTTGCCAAAAGAGTTAGAAGTAAAAAGAGATCGGATGGTACATTTACTTGAAAGTGTTGGCCTAAAACCCATAGTTCCTGATGGAGGATACTTCATCATCGCTGATGTGTCTTTGCTAGGTTTGTAAAGGCTTTTATTATTTCAGCTATATGGAAACTTATGTGTGAAATTATATCAGAATTATGGAGAAAAGATTGGTGTCAAAGCCACAGCAGCATTTTATCTGTGGAGAAGGATGGATTTTTGCAATGTCTACATTTTCTATAATTATCTTTACTTTTAGGTCTTTTACCTTAAATGTGACCATTGTTAAATGGTTATGAAGTCAGTGTTGTTCTAGTTAGTCTATCAAACATAGGATTTGCTGTCACTCTCTTCTAGTGTGTAATTTTAAAACACAAGTGTGTGAAATAGTATTATATACTCAGTGTTCATTTGAGTAAAATTGTAGTTTCCTTTTTACTTAACAAAATGTACTATTTCATTAGAAAAAAATCTAGAAATTTTAAAGCTATCAGGGAATATTTGCCATTTTAGGATGTACTGAAATAAAATAAATGGGAGAATAACACTTATTGAGGGTCTACTTTGTGCCATGTACTCAAAATACCCTTTTGAAGAAAACATTAGCTCCATTTTTGCGGGTAAGAACATTTAGAAAGTTTTAAATAGCTTCCCTGAAGTCACGCAGCTAGATTCTAAATAGTTCTGTTTCCAAAAAGCATTGTTTTTTTATATTACCTAAAGCTGTTATGTGTAATTCTGACATGCCATACAAATCTAAAGTCAGAACCGTGATAACGTGTCATACATAACTTTTCTTTAAAAAGAAATTAATAATAGTAAACCTTGAAGCCCAATTTATCGTGACAGAAATTACAGCCATTCTAAATATAGCTTTAAATGTTTTAAAATTTTATTACAATGAAGTTATACGCCAATGAACTTGAAAAACTGAAGTGTTTTATTTATACCAAATTGTATAAAGCTGGAAAGAGTAAAGGAAATTTTCAATTTTATAACAAAATACTGATTATATTTTTTAACTTTACGTCCTTCATAGGAGTTTGTTTTGTTTCGTTTTGCTTTGCTTTGTTTTGTTTTGTTTTGTTTTGTTTTGTTTTGTTTTGTTTTGTTTCAGGCAAGGTCTGGCCCTGTCACCCAGGCTGGAGTGCAGTGGTATGATCTCAGCTCACTGCAACCTCTGCCTCCTGGGCGCAAGCCATTCCACCACCTGAGTCTCCTGAGTAGCTGGGACCACAGGCACGCACCACCACACCTGGCTAATTTTTAAATTTTTTTTAGAGACTAAGTTTTGCCACGTTTCCCAGGCTGGTCATGAATTCCTGAGCTTAATGAGTGATCCACCTGCCTTGGCCTCCCAAAGTGCTGGAATTACAGGCATGAGCCACTGGCTGACTTCTTTCTTACTATAAGCATTTTATGCTAGCAATTTTTCCTTGTAATAGTTCATTATCATCTTAGCAAATTTCAGAAAAGTAAGGTATTATGATTTTCCTATAATTTGGTCTTCAGGTCTGTCTCTCTGGAAAGTGGCTATAAACTGTAGCTGTTCCCTGATGAGGCTCCAGGGGAGGTCCTAGATGTTTGCAGTGTGCCTTTCATGGGCTACTTGTTTATCCTGGCAGATGGCCTGATGTTAAGTGTCTGACCCATGACCAGACATCCCTAGAAACTAGTTCATACTGGCAGACACCCTTGTGGCTCTCATGTGACCTGTATCCAGTTTATTTCCACAGAGATAGCCACTCTTTAGGAGGAGGACAGTTAGGTTCCAGTGTGTTGGTCAGTTGGGACACAGAGGAGGCAGCAGGCCTCCAGGACCAGTGAGGAGCGGTCCAGGATATACACACTTAACCAGCAGGTGGGGAACAGAGAGACAGTGGGATCTGTAGGCCAAGCCTTTTTGGGGGTCCAGGGTGTTACCCAAGCAGGTTTTCTGCAGAGAGTTCTAACAGATGGGTTTAGAGCAAGCAGGCACAAGCTCATAGAGTCAGGCTGTGATTGAGAGGTAGGTGGTCCCTGTGGCATATCTAGGCAGTCCATGAGGAGGGTGGGGGTCAGTAGGCAAGTCAAGTAGGTTGTATCTAGCTGTCCCACAGTGAGGTGCTCGCCAGGAGGTGGTTGTCTCAGGCAGATATCTGAATCAACTACACTGAGGAACTGTGAGGAGGAAGAGAAGTGGAAATTGTGTCAAGGGTGACTAAGCCATGCTTCTGGTATAAGAAAGACCAACTTACATTCACAATGGATGCCAAGGCAACATACAGTCATAAGAATCAATTACACAATGTTTGGCTCAAACTAAAACACTATCCTTCCTTTCACATTAACTTATTTCTTCATTTGTCGTGAGAGAAGAGACTTTGGCAAGCAAAGGTTCCTGCAGTCCTATTGCCATAGAGCTGTATTTAGCAGGCTCCCAAGCTCTATGTTTATATAAAAACCCTTAAGATGTTCTAGACTCTGAGATTTGGAAAGTGCTTTTTCTATATTGAGTCTAAATGTGTAGTTTATTTTATGAAATGATAAAAAGAAATATTAGCACAGTTGTCATCACTTATATTTTTGCCTTTGAATCATAAATCCACAAGATTTCCATTTGAATTATTATTTTTTTAAAAGAACAAAATTTATATTTTATATGCTTCCAAAAGGAATGTGAGCCTACTCATATTAAAAGTTTTCTATGCAGTAATATATAAATAGAAATGATTGTATCTAAATCAAAAATCAATGACACATGGCCGGTGCAGTGACTCCTGTCTGTAATCCCAGAACTTTGGGAGGCCAAGGCAGGAGGATTACTTGAGCCCAGGAGTTCACCACCAGCCTGGGCAACATAGCGAGATCCTGTCTCTTAAATTTAAAAAAAAAAAAATCAGTGACACATAGGAAGGGAAGAAAGCAAATATTTCAGTCACCTAGGTTGACATAGTATTGTAATTAGCATTGAGACTAAACTTCCTGACAGTAAAGGCAAATAGAAAAATGAAATTAGTTACGTAGTTTTTGAATAAAAGGAAACTTAGCTTTTTAGATAAGAACAATTATTTCCTGGAACTAAACTCTTCCAGATAGTAAACTGGATTTATCACATTGTGACATTAACTATCAAAAGAACAGTGATGCAACTCAGAATATTACATTAAGCTCCTAATTAATTTCCATTTCTTTCCTCAGTCAATCCATTCTATATGTAATACTAATTTAGGTCTTAGATCTTGAATTACTGTGGTGATAATAGGAGCAAAAAAGATTTTGGTTAGGAAAGCTTTTCTGATAATGAAAACAAGATGTTTTTATGGTCTTCCTTCACCCATGTGGAAAAATGTTAATGTCCACAAAACCTTCCTATATATAAAAAAATTTATGTTTTGTTTTACTCTTTCATCTGCTTAATTTACAATGTGATAATTCTTCCAGATACTAAAAGTTGGCCCATAAACTAGAGATAAAAACAAAAATTCTTATTTAATCATAGCTTGAGAATAAAAGTAAACCATAATATTCATGAAAATAGTAATTATTTCCCTTTACAATTAATAGCAAGGGCTGACTAGTTAATATTTATTGAGAATTTATGATATAGTATAAATTACATTAGGAGCTTTGCAAATATATTCTCACAAAAGCCATATGAAATTGGTGCTATTATATCACTGTTGATCGAGAAGAGGAGATAATCAAGTAATTTACTGAAGTTAATCAACTAATAAGTATCAAAGCTGGCCTCTGAATCCAGTAATTAGAAGACAAGATTTCAAATGAGATTATTACAGTTTTTCTAGTGAAATAATAGGATCCAAAATTATGGAGGAGATAGTAAGAATGCAAAAACAAATTTCGGCCTTCATAAATTACTTAAATATGCTCACACATTTGATTTAAACTCTTACCATCAATAAAGAAAGATTTTATTTAGTTCCCATGTCTAGCTGAGGCATGTCAAAAGAAATAGATTCCAACTTCCTTCTGTCTATAAAACCTGTATAATTATATTTATTCCCTTCTTTCCTTCTTCAGCATCATGGTATTACATTACTTTTTTCTGGCAGGGCACCATGGCTCATGCCTGTAATCCCAGCACTTTAAGAGGCCGAGGCGGGCGTATCACTTGAGGTCAGGAGTTTGAGACCAGCCTGACCAACATGGTGAAACTCCATCTCTACTAAAAATACAAAGATTAGCCGGGCGTGGTGGTGCATGCCTATAATCCCAGCTACTCGGGAGGTTAAGGCAGGAGAATTGCTTGAATTTGGGAGGTGGAGGTTGCAGTGAGGCGAGATCGCACCATTGCACTCTAGCCTGGGCAACAAGAGCGAAACTCCATCTCAAAAAAATAAATAAATAAATAAATTCTTTTTGTCTAAGCTCTACAAGAATAAATCAGTAGCACAGTGTCAATTAGAGTTAGTAATCTCCTTCTACTCCCTTAGGTATTCACTCCTTTGTCTGGCTTCCTATGTACCTTCAATGCACTGCTGTTGTATACCTGTCACATGGAATTTTTATGTACTTTACAATTAGACTAAGTTTTTTAGCTGGTATTTTTGTTAGGGCCAAACCTGAATTACACATAAATACCTTGAAATAATAATTTAACTTCCTTATCTGTAAACAGAGGATTATAATTACCTCTCAGAATTGTGGTAACAACTAAATGAGATGATCATGTAACATGCTTAACCAATAATAAGTGTTCAATAAGTTGCAGTATGTTGTTAGCGTTATTACTTGGAAATTTTATGTTCTCCTTAAAAGACTTAAGGGGAGAATGGAGGTTAAAATATCAGGTAAAAGGATAGTAGGGCTTTGTTTTAAAAATACAAGTGAACCTTTCCTCAGTGTCAAAGGTTTTACATGATTAATTTGAAAAGAACCACTAGTATTTAATGTATAGAAGAAAGAAGTAAGATATCTGCCTCAATTTGTTTTGAGCAACACATTATAAAATTTCATTGATGATGATAATCATCAACATTAGTTGCTTTAGGGCATTCAAAAAGATCAAAGAGTACAAGTCAATAAAGTTGAAACGATATGAAATGCAGATTGCTGAAACTGAATACCAGAGATATATCTTGCCCAGACCTTAAAGCAAGATTGAGGCAAGAGCGAGTAGGAGTATATATTTGACTTTTTCACAAATTTGAAAAACAGTATAGTATATGGAAGTAAGAGATGAAATATAACAGTAGCATTTGGAAGAGCTAAACAGATATCTTGTATTTATAAATAATGAATAATATTAATTTATTCATTCAACAAATATACTTTTTGTCACTTATATGCTAGACACTGACCTAGGGGTTGGGAATACAATAGGTTACAAAACAGAACTTTACTTTTATGGAACTTATAGTCTAATAAGCAGCTATGTGGAGATATAATCATTACTGATAAATACTTATAAATTTAGCAGTTATTTCCTTAGTAGTAATCATAGAATCTTATTTCTAAATGGAAAGGCATCCCTCCTCTGCCCTTCACCTTTTCTACTCTCTTCCTGTGCTGAAAGCTGCATGTATAAGCCTAATCACCCTGATGTATATGTGAGTACTGCCTTAGACTATCAGTAAAGCTCTGTGAATTCACTTCCCACCCCACCGTGCAGTGTGAGACTCCAGCATATTCTGTGACTATGTTCTGAGAAAATTTAAATAGGAGAAAATGTTGAATCTTGATAGACTGAAATGAAATACATGTTGCATCAGATGAAATTCATAGGCCACCTAATTTTCATTGTGGTTTTAGATCCAGACCTCTCTGATATGAAGAATAATGAGCCTTATGACTATAAGTTTGTGAAATGGATGACTAAACATAAGGTAATGTTTATTGTCCTTTACAAGATTGTATTATATTTTATAGTTAATTTATGAAGGAAACCTGCTAGTATGCTTTGGAATCGATCAAATGTAATGTTATATGATACTCCACTTGTGGCTTTTAAAAGCATTTTTCTTTTTGGAAATTATTGTGACTATTTAAAAGTATCTAGTTGCCTCTAGTATCTATAGTACCAAAATTAATATTTGAAGTGTAAGTAATTTTCTTATTATATGTTTCTATTTTTCAGAAACTATCAGCCATCCCTGTTTCAGCATTCTGTAACTCAGAGACTAAATCACAGTTTGAGAAGTTTGTGCGATTTTGCTTCATTAAAGTAAGTTCCTTGCTCTATTGAAAACACATATATAGTACCTCATTTCCATTTGTAAAACACTATTTTCTTCTGTTTCTAAAAATGATATGCTCATATGCAGTTTTTAAATTTTGGCTTATGGTTTTAAAATTAACTGCTTACCAAAATAAAATTCAACACTTTTTGAAAGAAGACAACATAATACAGACCCTTTACCATGTAATATGACAATTTCCAGCATTCACTGAAAAATTACTAGACATAGGAAAACTGAAGAAAATGTGACCTGTAGCAAAGCAAAAAATAAGTTAATAGAAATAGGCCTAAAGGTGACCCAAATCTAGAAATTAGCAGACAAGGACTTTAAAGTAAACATTTGAAGTATGTTTAAGAAATTAGATGAAAAAGAACCAAGTGGAAATTCAAAAACTTAAAAGTATAATATCTGCTATGAAATACTTATAGGGATAACAGAGTATTGAAGATGTCAGAAAAAAAAAAACAGCCAGAGGTCAGGTGTAGTGGCTCATGCCTGTAATCCCAACATGTTGGGAGACCAAGGCAAGAGGATTGCTTGAGTCTAGGAGTTCAAGACCAGCCTGGGAAACATAATGAGATCCTGTCTTTATAAAAAAAATGTTTAATTAGCCAGGCTTGCTGGCACATGCCTATGGTAGTCACTACTCAGGAGTTTATGGTACAAGGATCACATAAGCCCAGCAGGTCCCCTTAGAAATGTTAACTAACTTCTTATCAGAAACAATGAAGACCAGAATACAATGAAATAACATCTGAGCACTGACATTAAAAAAAAAAAAAAAAAAAAAAAGCCTAGAATGCTATATCTAGGAAAATATCCTTTAAAAATGAAAATGAAGTAGATATCCCTGAAGAGTGAAAGTTGAGAGATTTATCACCATCAAACTTCTCCTCCTTTTTTAAAAGGTTCCAAGTATGTTACTGCTGTTTTTAAAATGTAGTTGGTACTGAAAATAGTCTTACTAAGATCAAGACACTTTATCAACTCACTCATCTTTAAACCTAGTCAGAATAACATAAACACTGTTTTCAACTTTTAGAGACAACCGATAGACAGACTATGCCAGACTTGCCCAGAATAGAATATAAATATTAACAACCTAACAATGTAAACATTCAATTGACTGAAATTGTAAAGAACGGTAACACTATTAATATCCATCATCTTACACTGGATTGAGAAATAGTGGTATATTATTTGAAATTTTAAACAAAACTAACAGAAGAAAGTAGTAACATAGGACTTCCAGTTTTAAAATGGTAAACCCAGCCCTTCCCTAATCGCTTTTTAGAAATTATTTAAAAACAACTAAGACAATAGAAAACAAATTCCCCAGTGTTTAAGGAAAGGTTGCTAAATACTGTGAAGGTGATAGTAGAGGGAAGATACCTAGAAAGGATCCTGCTTTTACATCTTCAAATTACAGACAAAGCCAGAAGGCAGCATACTCATTATTGAGAACAATAGAAGCAGTTGATGCACTGGCAGCAGGAACTTCTCTAGACCGTTTGGCATCATGGAGGAAACAGGGCAAAAACATACAGTCATGTCATCCGGAAACTATGTGAGGCAGGTGGAAAGGAGACTCTGGTTGGTCTATAGATTTCCTCATTTACTCCTGTCATTTTGCTAAAAGCTACGTTGAAGCAATGTGGAAGAGATGTATTAAATTGGGGATAACCAATGTAATTATTTGGTAAGAAATCTGGTCTAAAAGAATTCCTGCCCACTGAGTTAAATTTTACTATGTAAATTTTCAACTATATTAAATTTTACTATGAGACAAGGAGAATTTCTGCTCTTTTCTGGTGCTGCCCCAGCTTCTCCCTTATACAAATCAGCAAATCTATCTTCAAATCACAGACAAAGCCAGCAGGTAGCATGCTTATTACCCAGAACAATAGGTATAGTACATGCTTTGGCAGTGGAAGCTTACAAAGAGAATTCAATGAAAAATGATTAATAATCAAAGGGGAGGGTCCAGGTGTGGTGGCTCACACCTGTAATCCCGGCACTTTGGGAGGCCAGGGCAGGAGGATCATTTGAGGTCAGCAGTTCACAACCAGCCTGGCCAACATGGTGAAACCCCATCTCTACTAAAAATACAAAAAATTGGGGTGAGTGTGGTGGCACATGCCTGTAATCTCAGTTACTCAGGAGGCAGAGGCACGAGAATCACTTGAACCCAGGAGGCAGAGGTTGCAATGAGCTGAGATTGCTCCACTGCACTCCAGCCTCGGTAATGGAGTGAGACTCTGTCTCAAGAAATATGATAACAACAATAATAATAATAAAAGAGGAACCAACTGTGAATCTATATAGGACACTGTAAGGAAAAGAGAAAGGTACAAGGAAAAACAAGTGTTAGAGAATATTCGCCCAAAAAAAAATGTTGCCATAGAGCAAATAAAATTAGTGCTATTTCAAATTTAAAACCTTTAAAATGAGAAATTAAAGCAGAGATTTTACGAATTCAGGGAAGATAGAGTAAGATATTATAAGAAGATCAAATGGGAGCTATCAGAGTTCAGGTAGGAAATTGAAAAGAAAAAATAAAGCTATTGGAAATTATGGTGACATTATTTGCTAAAATAATGAACACTAAAAGAACACTAAATACTTCTGTAAGGACATTAAAGATGGAGATAAGTGAACAGAAGGAAGTGGAAAGGAACAAATAATTTTTAAAATATTAGGCAGAAAAATTATTGATGCAGAGGAAAAAAAATACGTAGAATTGCTAGAAAAAAATAAGAGCAGAACAAATGGAACCTGGAAATAATAATAATTGTCACACAATTGTTAACACTGAGATATACCTCGCTTGATATATTGGGCTTCAAAGACAATTCCTTTGAGCACCTAGATCAAGGCCTCCAGAGGGGCCAGGAGAGGAGGATCAGTGTGGACCCAGACTGTTCTTACATCAACAGTCAATACTGGCAGACAGTGTGGAAGTAGCTGGAAGTTTCTAGGGAAAGTGGACACACCTATCTCCACCTCTTAGAAGGGCTAAAAATAAAAGAATGACAAAACCATACCAAGAAAACAGAAACTGAAAGAAAGCAGTTTGAATTCAGAGCAAAATAGAAGTGATAAAAATAAATAAGTGTAAGGCAAAAATAGCACTTTGTAATATTATAGGTAAGATCCTTAGTAGTTGTTAAACTTATAAAAGTTGTCAAACTTATTTCATAGTAAGAGAAATGAAAATTAGAATTGCAAAGAAATTTTATTTTATCTCTTAGATTGGAAACAACCAAAACAACTAAAATGTTTCATAAAACACTCTCACAAATTGAGAGGGGGAGTATAATTCGTAAAATCTCTATGGTGGTTAGTTTGAAAATTTCTATCCAGATGTGATTTCCCATACCCTTTGACCCAACAATTCTGCTTCTACAAGTTTCTTGTGGATTTACTTGCACATTTTGAATGACTTGTATTCAAGGATTTTCACTGAGGCATCATTTGTAGTAGCAAAATACTGTAAACAACAAAATTATTCACTGGTGGGGGCCGCTTGAATAAATGATGCTACATTTACATCAACCTAAATGCCCATCAATGACAGATTGGATAAAGAAAATGTGGTACATATACACCATGGACTACTATGCAGCCATAAAAAAGAATGAAGTCGTGTCTTTTGCAGGAACATGGGTGGAGCTGGAGCCCATTACCCTTAGTAAACTAACACAGGAACAGAAAACCAAATATCACATGTTCTCTCTTATAAGTGGGAGCCAAAAATAATGAGAACTCATGAACACAAAGAAGGGAACAACAGACACTGGGGCCTCCTTGAGGGTGGAGGTTGGGAGGAGGGAAAGGAGCAGAAAAGGTAACTATTGGTACTGTGCTTAATACCTGGCTGATGAAATAATCTGTACAACAAACCCCTGTGACATGAGTCTACCTATGTAGCAAACCTTCACATGTACCCCCAAACCTAAAATAAAAGTTAAAAATAAATAAACAAGAATAATAAAAAATATACAATTTTAAAAAGAAAGATAGATGAAAATCTCTGGAAAAATATATAATGAAATCCCAGTGTTGCCTCTGGAGAGAAAAACTGGGTGACTGAGGGAGATAGGTGGGAAGCTGACCTACTTTAAAACAAATATTTTGAAATGCTCTCAACCTAAAAGTTTCAAGAACTTTTTTCTAAACTATTTCAGAGTAAGTCGTCAACTTAATTACTAATGATGCTCCTATCACCCCCATATACTTTCTTGTGTATTCTTTACAAACAAGACATTGTCCTCCCAAACTACAATATAACCCTCAAAATCATGAAGTTAACGTTGATACTCCATCTAATCCTCAGATCCAATTTAAATGTCATTCATTGTCCCAATAATGTCCTTTTTATAACTATTTATTTAATTAATTCAGGCTAGAATCATGCATCACATTTAGTTGTCATGTCTCCTTCAAGCTAGAATGGTTTCTCAGTTTTCTTTGACTTTCATGATCTTGATACTTTTGAAAATTATCAACGAATTATTTTTAAGAAGGTACCTCAATTTAAGCTTGATGTTTCCTCATGCTCAGATTCAGGCTATGCACTTTGGCAGGAAACCACAGAAGTGATGATGTTCTATCCTTTTCATTGTATCAGGTGGCACATGATTTCAATTATTCGTATTACCAGTGATGTTAACTTTAACCACCTGATTAAGGTGGTGTTTGCCAGTCTTTTCTAGTATAAAGTTATACTTTTTCTTGTTAAATAGTAAATATTTTACAGTAAGGTACTATGAAAATATTCCATATCTCATTAAGCAATTTATTTATTAACTTATTCATATGTATCAATGTGGACTTCTGGATTTTTATTTTATAGTACAGTTGGCTAAAATTTATTATTATTATTACTTATTTTGATACTTAGATTTTCCCAGATTTGGCCACTAGTCATGTAATTACTAATTTAATCAATACTTCTGTATGGGATCAATCTCCTGTCAAAGCCACTGCGCACCCCTCACCTTCCCAGTCCCTGAGAGGATATCCTTTTCCCCGTTCAGGCTTTGACATTTTGTGCCAGGTTGCTACATTACATCTTCACCCCACCTGGGCTTTATCACCCATGCTGACCTCTCCTGTCATCCTCCTGGAGAGGTGCCCCCATCTAGGTCTCCAATACCCCATACCAGGCCACCACTGTCACCTACTACACAGAAGCCCTCCTTGCCCCTCTGGGGCACTGACACCATGCCAGATGCCTGCCTCACCTCATCCAGGCTCCAGGACCCTACATGAGGCCACCCTACCATACAGGTGCCTCACTTACCCCACTCAGAGTCTGACATCCTATTGCAGCCAGCACTATCACCTCATGACACCTGTGCTGGCCACCCTGCTCACTCCACTCTGGCTGCAATGTCCTGCACTAGGGTTGCCAAGGCTCTTCCAGCCCTATACACGGACAGCCGCTTTGCTCAGCCTCACCTATTGGCTTTCAGACTGAATCATTCTGGTGGAGAGAGAAGACAAAGAAAAAGAAGTAGAGAAACAGAAGATGAACATCAGAAGGCTGGATTTTCTCTGCTTACACCTGTCTAATTTTATGCTATATATATGAATCACCTATTCAAAAAATAAACTATTTTTCAATAATTACAACTAGGAAACCTTGAAAACAAGGGGCAGAGTAGTGTGAATGAACTAATTTTTTGGTTCAGAGCAAAGTATAGGTATAGTAGATAATATGTGAAGTTCACAAATAAGGAAATAGAAGCATAAACACATTATTAGATTTTGGTGGTAGCCATTAGAACTAAAACCAGAAATTGCCATAAAAGGTTATCTTGAAGGTAGAGGGAGTCATAGGAAGGGGTGGAAAGGGGGTGGAGCAGATAGCTATTATTTTTCCATGTAAACTCTTCTGTACCCTTCGACCTATTTCTGTATTTATAATTCATTTGGTTAAATAGTAAATTTATAATTCATTTGGTTAACTGTTTTCCTGTTTTGGGTTCTGCTTTTGCTTTTTCACTTTGAAAATTTTTCTTCACTTGAGATCAAATATTCACTTAAATCTTCATTAAATCTTCATTATGTATATTTAAATATTTGCTTCATCTTGAATTTATGTCTATCTGTAATGATGATGATTATTTCATTAATTTACAGAAAGACAGCACACTGGATGCTGCTGAAGAAATAATCAAGGCATGGAGTGTACAGAAGTCTTGATATGTGCAGAATGGATTAATGTTTGTTAGATGACCTAGTATAGAATTGTTACTTAGTGCTGCCACCTGCTGGATGTTAAAAGATATTTTGGTACAACTAGAATTTAAATATTTCCATTGTTTTTCCAAAGCAGTTAACCCAACTCCTAACAATATTCAGGGGATCTGACCTTTTTTTTCAGTTGAAATGTATTAACACATCTTCCATGATCATTTTTTAAGAGAGTCAGCATAACATAGTGGATAAAAACTGTGAGATGTTTAACCTCTCAGTAACTTGGTTCCTTCATTCTAATATGGGAATAAAATCAGTACCTGTTTCATATGAAGGTCATTTCTGAGAATTAAATGGACTAATGTATGCAAAAGCCTGGCAAACAATAAACACTCATCTGACTTTAGCCGATTTCATGTTTCCACTATTGTGTAAAAACTCCTAACTAGTTCCACCCCTCTACCACGTGTATTTTGTTTTGTGTACCCACCTGTAGTTCCTCCCCTTCATTTACCAATGGCCTTGAACTCTGTTCAAGTTTTGCTTCAACCCCAAGTACTGCTATTATTTGCGGTGGCTTCAGGTCCACATGGATTAGCCAGGCTTTCCATACTTTGACCTCCTCACCTCTGGTGATGTTCACCTCCACTGCACTTCAGCCATCCACTGCCTTGGTCACTCACTGAGGCTTTTATCATTCAAGTCGGCTTCACCTTTTGAGATCACAAACTCATCATCTCCCACTATAATGACCTGTTCTTCCAGCTCATTATTGCTGTCTTGTGTACATGCTCTCCCTTTTATTTCTCTCTCTCTCTGTCCCCCCTACCCCCCCGTTCCATCTCCTTCTCCTCAGCTCTTTTCAAAATATCACTTCTTGGCCAGGCGCAGTGGCTCGTGCCTGTGATCCCAGCACTTTGGGAGGCCGAGGCGGGTGGATCACTTGAAGTCAGGAGTTTGAGACCAGCTTGGCCAACATGGTGAAACCCCATGACTACTAAAAATACAAAAAAAAAAAAAAAAATTAGCTGGGCGTGGTGGCATATTCCTGTAATCCCAGCTACTTGGGAGGCTGAGGCAGGAGAATTGCTCAAACCTGGGAGATAGAGTCTACAGTGAGCCAAGACTGCGCCACTGCACTCCAGCCTGGGCAACAGAATGAAACTCCATCTCAAAAAAAAAAAAAAAAAATCACTTATTTAAACTTACTACAATTTCAATCCACTATTTCACAAAAAATTGGTCTATGACCTTCTTTCATTAGAATCTACTAGGATCCTTGTTGAAGATAGAGATTCTGTTCATCACCCAGACAATTTCAGGATGTAGTCCTCCAGGTGATATTTACACACATGAAAGTTTGATCATTACTGCTGTAGTTTGTAGAATCCTCCATTTTATTTCTATCCGTTTCCTTAAATCTTTACTCCCTTTCTCATCTAGCCTTGACTTCATTGTCCATCACTTCAGCCCAGATGCTTTTGCTGCCTTGAATTATTTGTACCATTGTTCTATCTCAGCTGGTCAAAAAGAGAGAGGGGTTGGAGCTCCATGCCTAGACCTGGGCTGTACATTGCACAGTTGGGCAGGTTATAGCAACCATGAATTCACATCACTGACACAAACTAAACATAATTCTGTATTCCCCTACCTTTTACCACAGCAGCAATTCCTACCATTCTCCTATATTTATGTTTTGTTTTGAGACGGAGTCTCATTCTGTTGCCAAAGCTGGGGTGCAGTGTCGCAATCTCAGCTCACCGCAACCTCCGCCCCCCAGGTTCAAGCAATTCTCATGCCTCAGCCATCCATATAGCTGGGATTACAAGTGTGCGCCACCACACCTGGCTAATTTTTGTATTTTTAGTAAAGACAAATTTCACCATGTTGACCAGCCTGGTCTCAAACTCCTGGCCTCAAGTGATTCGCCCGCCTCAGTCTCCCAAAGTGCTGGAATTACAGGCATGAGCCACCGCACCCAGCCGATTCTCCTATTTTTTTTTTTTTTTTTTTTTTTTTTTTTTTTTTTTATTTATTTATTTATTTATTTATTTTTTTTTTTTTTTTGAGGCGGAGTCTTGCTCTGTCGCCCAGGCTGGAGTGCAGTGGCCGGATCTCAGCTCACTTTTGAGACGGAGTCTTGCTCTGTCGCCCAGGCTGGAGTGCAGTGGCCGGATCTCAGCTCACTGCAAGCTCCGCCTCCCGGGTTTACGCCATTCTCCTGCCTCAGCCTCCCGAGTAGCTGGGACTACAGGCGCCCGCCATCTCGCCCGGCTAGTTTTTTTGTATTTTTTAGTAGAGACGGGGTTTCACCGTGTTAGCCAGGATGGTCTCGATCTCCTGACCTCGTGATCCGCCCGTCTCGGCCTCCCAAAGTCTCCTATTTTTAATAACAAAAATATTGTACCTCCATTCTCACCTCAAAACCTACCACCAGTAGCATGATTAAATCATAGCAAACGACTTCAACCCCACTTCTGTGAAAAATATAATGAAAAAAACAAGCTACCAAACCAGCACTTCCAACTAGGATCATACCAATAATCCTGTGACTTGTCTGCATCATCATCCATTCTTCCTTCCCTCCAGTTATAATGGTCGTTCATCCTTTGACTTGTCAATGACCGACAGGTTAGGGGTGGCAGTAGAGTAAGGAAGACTTGGTTAAAAATTACCAGGCCCAGCCGTCTAGAAGGAAGCTCAGGACCCCAAGAGCCAACAATTCTGTAGCAACAGAAATCCCACGGCAAGTGTTTAGCCTGTCCACTGTTGTTGGGAACTTGACAAAATATTCACCAGGATTTAAAGCAGCTTTTTGCAACCCTGGGCTTGTCTAATGCTAATTCCACTGCCTGTGCTCTGGATCTTGTTTCCTCACACACTCTCAGAATTGGCTCAGTCTATGCTCTTGGACCTTCAATCTTTACTGGTTCCCTTCTTCAGAAGTGGGACATGTTCAAATCTCTGCCATCCTAGAAAATTCTTTCACTGATTGATTCTATCTACTAACCTCCTATGTCTGCCTATTCAGGGCAAAATTCCTTCTATCTTTCCTCTCTCTCCTCCCCCCTCCTTTCCTTCTTTCCTTTGTTCCTATCTTCTTTACTTCTTCCCTCTCTGCCTCCCTCCTTCCCCTACTTTTTCCCTCCCTCCTCTCTTTTCCCTTTTTCCTTCTTCTCCTTCCTTCCACAAGTATCACTTGAACTCCTACTATGTGCCAGGCATTCTTGTAGGCACTTAGTATACATCAGTGAACAAAAATAGAAGATTCCTCCTCCAGGGCTTTTCATCTAGCCAGGGGAGGGAGATTAAGTCATAAACATAATAAAATATATCGTATGTAAATTTATACCTAATTATATGAAGAAAAGAAGTAGAGCAGGATACAGGGGGATGACTGTTACAGAAGCAAATTGAAATTCCAATAGTGTGGTCAGAAAAGGTCTTATGGAGGCAACACGGAAGCAGATTTAAAGGAGCGAAGGGAGACAGGCTTGTGCAGATCTTGGGGAGAACATTCCCAGCAGAAGGACTAGACAGTGCAGTGCTTCTAAGACAGGAGGGTACCTGGCACGTTTGATGAGTAACTAAAAGTCTGGTATGATTGGATGGAATAACCAAGGGGGAGAGTAGGATGTACTCTACTTGTAAGGATGATGGCTTAATCCAGAGAATCAGGGTGTTGTTCCGTTCTTTTTAACATGTAAAATAATGCCAGCTGGGTGCCGTGGCTCACATAGGTAATCCCAGCACTTTGGGATGCTGAGACAGGAGGATCACTTGAGGCTAGGAGTTCAAAACCAGCCTGGGCAACATAGTGAGACCTTATCTCCACCGAAAAGAATTTTAAAATTATCCAGGCATGTTGGTGTGCTCCTGTAGTACCAGCTACTTGGGAGAATGAGCGGGGAGGATTGCTTGAACCGAACCCAGGAGGTCGAGGCTGCAGTGAGCTGTGATCACACCACTGCACTCCAGCCTGGGCAACAAAGCACGACCCTCTCTCAAAATAATAAGAGTAATAATGTCTGTTGCGGCATTGTAAATAATTACTCCAAATGGGAAACAACCAAAATATCCATCAACAGTCTAATAATTTACGGGGTCTATTCATACAGTGGAATATCGTATAGCAATGAAAATTAACAAAGTACAGCTACACACAATAACATGGATGAATTTCATTGACACTGTTGTCATAGGGTTTCTGCACAGTGCCTTCAAAGAATCAGCTAGCACTCTCAGTAGACAGTATTCTGTAATGCTAGAAACTAGTGCTGTGATCATTGAAGCTTTGCATGTCAGCCTCAACCTCGGGGCTTCTGGAATTTCTGTGTGCACCCTAGAGTGAGGGTTTCCACAGTCTGGTCTAACAGCCTAAAGACTACCATGGGAAACTCCATGTCTGGGCGATTCAAGAGACAGGATCATTATCTTTTCCATTGAGCTGTAATGTGGAGACCTGAGCTGGGGAGGGGAGGAAATAGATTTTTTTTTTTTTTTTTTGCAGTTGCAAGATTTAATAGAGTGAAGACAGAGCTCCCATACAAAGGGAGGGGACCCAAAGTGGGTAGCCATGCTGGCTCGAATGCCTGGGTTTATGTCCTGATCATTGCGCCTCCCACTATGCTCTCAGGCGATAGGTGATTGGCTATTTCTTTACCTCCAGTTTCTGACTAATTAGCATTTTAGTGAGTTCTCTGATTGGTCAGGTGTGAGCTAAGTTGCAATCCCCATGTTTAAAGGTGGACGCGGTCACCTTTCCAGCTCGGTTTAGGGATTCTTAGTTGGCCTAGGAAATCCAGCTAGTCCTGTCTCTCAGTTCCCC